CCAAACAGCGGGTGGTTAGAGCAGCGGTGCGACCAGCCCTCTGCAGGATTCGAAGCCGAGAGAGTAGCCCCCTCGGGTCCCCTTGGCTAATTCCCTGGGCTCCGTCAGCAGCCACACTTAATTTTAAATTGGTAAAAGAGGAGTTAGCCAATCTTTGAATTTGTACAGTCTCTGCAGCAATTCCCCCCAATCTGCAATTCTGATGTGCTGTCTACATTTGAATACTTAAGTTGGATTTCACTGTATATGTTTATGAACATACATATAAAATACTTAGATAAAGACAATGAATTTTGTTTGAGGTGTATTATCAGTTTCCTCAGGTTGTTGTAACTAAGGACCACAAACTGAGTGGCTTAAATGGAAACTTGTCTCATGGTTCTGGAGGCTAAAAATTCAAGATCAAGGTATCAGCAGGGCCAGCCTCCCTCGGAAGGTGCAGGGAAGGATGTGCCCCAGGCCTCTCCCCTGGAATCCAGTGGGTCTTTGACTTGTGGCAGCGTCACTCCAGCCTTCACGTGGAGTTCTGTGAGCGTGTCTGTCCAGATTTCCCGTCTGTAAGGGCATCAGTCACGCTGGGTTAGCGGCCCACCCTACTCCAGGGTGACTCAACTAATTGCATCTGCAACAACCTGATTTCTGAATGAGGTCTCCTGAGGTGCTTGGAGTCAGGACTTCAACTCATGAATTAGTGCGCGGTGGGGCGGGTGGGCAGTTCAGTGCTAACAATGTGATTGGCGTGAAGATAATCAACCATGGAGGGTTAGCACGAGTAGGATCTTGGAAGATCATTAGATACAACCGTCTTATTTTGCACACGAGATCAGTGGGCAGTAAAGGGCATATTACATATTTTAAAAATTAAATTAGATGAAGGGTGCTCCAAATGCTCCATAATAATTAAAGTTCTTCTGTGTTTTCTCATGTCTCTCTCCCAATGGAAATGTGGCTCTTCTCCTTTTTCTTCTCTTTCTCTGACTCTTCCCCACCATCTCCACTCCAGCTCACCTTCCTCACCAATGGGGAAACCTTCCTTAGCTATTCCTACCAGCAGACTGCTCGACGCAGCACTTGTAGTCTGCACCACCAGCCTTTAACAATGTGGCCCAGTCTCTCCGCTGATTTTTATTAACTGACATTTGAGGCGTATGTATTACCTTATGTTTTTATCATGGCATGCATTTATTAGGCTCCTGGCACTGATAGAGTGAGAATTTTCTGGTTCTATTATTAAAAGGAACTCTGATAGGTAGGCGCAGGGAACTTTCCTGAGATACAAGTTTTAATGACCTGAGTTTTGAAGACTGGATGTGTGAGCGTTTGGGGGTGGGGCTACGGAGTGTGGCAGGGAGAGTGGCTGAGAGAAGGAGTGCCTAGGGGACCATTCCTCACCCAAAACTCGCATGCGCTGCCATTTTCTACTCTGATAATGTAAGCCTTTTGCTGGGAATGTATGTGTGATCATATTGAGGAAGTTCCTAGTAACATCAGACTCTGTTGGTCTTGTCTCTGTAACAAGGATGTGTGCTCTGGGGGGCAGGAAAGGGCTCTTCTCCTCCTAAGTGCCCAACACACCGCTAGGGTGAGGCAGGCCTGTGAACTTATTGTGCTGGTTAGTGAAGCCAGAGGCTGTTTTGATGTAAACAAACTCCACAGACAAAAATGTGTTGTGTATTGTACTAGACAAAATATTAGCAAACATTTTGAGAACAAACATAAATTTAACATGATTATCCAATGGGATTTGCCATTTTATTTTGAACCATATTAAAATATACTTTAAAATACTGTAAATGTTGAAAGCACATATTGACCTTTCTAAAAAGTTAAAAATAAATTTTAATATTTTTCTGGAGTGAATAAAAACTTATACTTTTTTTAAAGAATTAAATACAACAGGATATGAAATATAAAACTCTACAGGTCTCACATAGGAAGACAAAATATACTACTAAGTATATTAATAGGAAAATCAATATTTAAATATATCACCTTCTACCCACTATTATTTAGAAAGGTTTAGATACTATACTACATATCTAGCAGGCAGAAATGTCTTGATGATTTCTCTTAATACACAAATGTATTGTATTCCTACAGTTCAATGAAAAGATTTAGTCAACATTAGTAATGAAACTCCAGGCCATTGTATTATTAAATAATATTGTATTCATACTTCATGCTAGCTAAGATGTACTTGGATTTTTGTAATATCACTCAGAATCAAGAATGTAATCCTTGCTGCAAACTTTTAAAGAAATTGTGGGGTAAGCCTGACACCTGCTGGTTAAGATTTGTTACTTCATTTTGCGTTTCAAATAAACTGCATTTTTCATTACAGCATAGAGATGTAATACACTTTGAAGCAGTTCTACCTACTTATGAGATTTCTTAGGTTGTTACAAATTATTGAAGCTTAATGTTCTAATAATTGTTATAACCACAAGCCTTTCACATTTATTTTTGCCTCTTGATAGCCATTGATAACAAATCTATGGCTATATATTTCTGAGTCTTTTCTACAGGGTCAAAGTTTTATTCAGGTGCTTTCATCTTGAGTAACTGAGTGCCTGTAGGCGAGGGGTTGCTAAGTGCTGCTAAACCTCCTGCAGAATTGCACTCCTCCACCCCTCCTTTTCCGGAGCCCTACCGCACAATGTACTGGTGCTGGTGCTGCTGTGTACCCCCTGCCCTTAGGGCCCCAGCCTGCACTGCCTCCCACTCTTCTGGCTGACTGGAAGCACAGCCCTGGAGTCACCCATTACTTAGACCATCCCAGAGCCTCAGTTTCCTCATTTGTAAAATAGGGCTCATGATTCTGCTTCCGGTTGTTTTGAGCATTAAATTAGGTAATGCATGAAAAGCACTTGGCTTCATTATTGTTATTTGCTGGCCTTAGAAGACATTACTATATGTGTCTGTCATCAGTCATTAGAAAGTTTGCCAAGATAGGACTATGACTTTTCACTTCATCCATATTGCCTAATCCAATTTTTTTATCCTTGTTTTCTTCCCTTTTTTACTGTGAAGATCCTCTTTATTGCCAGACAGACCTTGCAGTCCCAGGGACTAGAAATTTAGTGCATCGACATGATAAAAATCATTTGGAGACTGGAGAGAAATGCCCCCATGAGTCCTCTGAACATTTGAAGCTTCTGTAGCTTCACTTACCTGTTAATTAGTGTGTGCTCATTAACCCTAACTTTGTATTTGCTGGAAAGAGGGATAACCACTGTGACTTCAGTAAAGAAGAGCAAGTAAAGTAATTAGTTCAATAAATGTTAATTAGGTGCCAACCATAACCATATGCAGTTACTGGGAGAGGTGCTGGGAATACAAGATGAGGAAAGAGCCACCCCTCTCCAGAAGCATCTTGTTAGGGAACCATTGAACTTGAGGGTGGTCTTGGAGACTTGTGACACGCCCTGTTCACTTGGCATTCAGTTGTAGAAAATGAAAACTACTTTAGTTGGTTTAAGCAAACAAGTGTTTATTATCATCTATTCTCTGACTTCCAAAATGGTTGGAATGGCTGAAAAAGCAGGCGGAGACTCCAGGAACCATTTCTAGCCCCAGAATCTCATTCTTGCAGACGCAGCAAGCACTGAGAAGCTACTTGCTGTAAAATCACGCTGCTTTAGCTACGCCAGCAAGTGGATGCCTGGCATCCTGCCTTGATCCCCTGTTAACTCAGGTCTGAATGAAGAAACTTAAATCATCCCTGGAGCTGGACCTGCAAGGGCATCAGATGCAGCATTTCACATCTACAGTGCTCAAAGACATGAGAAGGAAACTGGAATGGATGCCAACGGAGGCAGTCCTCAGTAGCTCATACGTTGTTAAAGAATGTACACATTTTAATGTCTCTCAATACTGCCCAACTGCTTTTTTAAAAGGTTGGAAAATTTACAATGGCAATGACAGCAAGTGAGACTCTGGTTTTCTGGTGCTTTAAAGTATCAGGGGATGGTAATCTCAATGGACAAAAACAGATATTGAGTGATAAGGGGCAGCCTGTGTTTTCTGCCTTTCTCTGTTTTTTTTTTTTTTTTAATAAACAGATTCCTATAGATTGTGGTTCGAGGCAACCTCCTGCTTGAAAGCTGAGGAATATAAATTAACTACTCTGTTGATGGCTTACCAACAAGGCACTCATTTATATAATATAGGCTAAGCAATTTTAGTGTTGAAAACTACTGAATAAAGTAAGAGGAAGGCTTATTTTATTATTAATCTCTCTAATTTATACTTTCCCCTTTCTTCTCAGGTTCTCCCTCTTATCCCTCCTCTAGGTTCTGTGTCTCCTATCTCTCCTAAATAGCTACCACCGCTTGCCTTAGAGAAAGGGATTTGGGCTTCGAGTCAGCTGACCTGACCTACAAGGTAAGATTTTGCTCAAGTTTGAAGATGCAACATCTCATCCAAGAGTCAGGGAGTACAATCACCATGATGCAGATGTTTATATACACAAAGGAGGACATAAAAGACCATGAAATACATTTCCTTAAAGGACCTTACAATTACTAGATCTTGGAGCAATGTGAATTTTTTACACAGCATTAGAAAACGAATACGGGTTATTTATGATACACTACCATAATGAGGTCCTATTATTTTACAGTACATGTGACATGCATATGCACAGAAAAATATCTAAAAGGATGAATGATAGATGCTGACAGCAATTATCATGGGGGGATGAGACAATAAGTGGATGTTTTTACCTTATTCCTTGTATTTCCTGGATTGTTTGAAGATTTAAAAATAAGTGATATTACTTTAGTAATCAAATGGGAAAAATAAACCACTTAAAAGGCGAGAAAAAATCATCAAAATAATATATCATAAATACCACAAAGGGGCGTGTAGACTCAAATTACATAGCTGATAAGATTGTGTTTTTGTACATTGTATAGTATTATGAAAAAGCACTGTAGTAAATTTTTCTAAGTCCCAATCGCTCCTTCTTACCTAGAATTAATAGGTCTGGTGCTTTTAGGTATGTTTAATTTCAGAATTTTATTTTACATGGATTTTTGTGGCATAACATAATATCTGTGGTACTGTTACTGAAATCACTTATGATGGTCAAATTCTAATAATTTTTGCAACAAGTTTTCATGAAATTTTTTTAAAAAATAGAGAAAGTTTACATTGTATATCATCTTAGACTTATTTTCTTACATTGTCAAAATAATTTCCTGTAATTGTTAGTTTCAAAGAAAATTTATGGGAAATTACAGAACAGCTGCAGAGTTCTTTACAATAAAATTCACAAAAACCATTTTTTTGCAGGTTGAAAGTTTATCAAAAGGTATGTGGATTATAAATATGTTTTGGCAATCTGGTGGATTTAAGGGCACTTTAAAAGTTGTCCAGTTAAATTACTACAGATATGACATGTTTGATGCAACCCAATCTGTAAGTCTAACACTAATGATCATCTTTTGCTGTTAAAACACAGAATAATTTATCCAAAAAATCCGTGAGAACTACAAAGAGTCTGATGTCTTCATAAAGATTCTTTTATAAGTTGTGCTAATCTCTGGAAGGCCTGGAATTGAAAATAGATAAGAATTAATAAAATTAGGATGCTATTTAGGAAAAGTTTGTCAGAACTTTAAAAATTCAAACAAAGACTATCCAGCTAAGGTTGAGATAAGTCAATGAAAACCAAGTTTAACATCAATTTTATAGTGGTAGGACGCTCTCAATGTCACAATGTATATAGAGATAAGCATGTTAGATGCCTAGGATTTTTCTCTTATTGTTCTTGTAGCCCTCAAGATCATAATTTTCTTTTTTTTCCACATCACGTTTTATTTTTTCATGTAATCTCTCACCTGCATATATACATCCTATACAGTTTCTATTGTCCAACTCTATTATATAAAAACAAAAAAAAACCCTATGCAAAGCATATTTAATGACAGAAGAAAGCAAGTAAATAAAGAACACACAAAGAACCAATCCATCTGCAAATATAAGTATAAACTCATCTTAAAGTTAATGGCACCATTCAATTTCTGGGTCTTCTGTTTGGATTCCCAGACACACAGTTCTTAGGAACTCATTTCTTTGCTTCTTGTTATTTTGGTTAAAGCTAGACTTTGATTAATTTGAGAATATTATTCTCTTTGACTTGCTGATTTTTTTTCCTTAATGAAAGAGACTGCTGGCTTCAATTTTGTGCCTGTGGCTTATGTTAATTCTACAAAGGAAAGAGAGTTTCTTCATACCTTATTGGTAATCAATGAACACTGTTCAGTTGGTCTGAAAACTATTCATGAAAACAATAAAATTAAATTCCAACTCATTCTTTTCATTTGTTTATAGAAGTCTAGCAACAAAGTAAAGTGTCTTTTAATAGTAGTTCATGACTTTTCAACTAATACCTGTTTTTGAGAAACCCAAGAAGACATTAAAGCATATTGGAATTCATAAAATAAACTTATGCACCAAGAAATAGAATTGATAGCTAATGTTACTCTGAAGAAAATACTGTACTTACCATATCCATTTGTTCTGGAGAAGCCAAAGAGAAGGATGCTCTGAAGTAAGGGCTAGGAGCTGAGTTATCAATGTAGAAAGCATTTCCAGGAACCATTAGTATCTAAGAGAGTTTATGGAAAATAAGTAACATCCCATTAAAGAAAAACTGAAGGAAAATATAGGTAAATCAAAGCTCAGAATGGGGAAGGACTTTTTAAAATTAAAAGCAATTAATCAAATCACAAGAAAAATAAAAAAAAGTTTATATAAAAATTCAATATATCATACAATAAACAAAACTAAAAGCAGAGAAATTGGAAAAATGGTTACAATGAATATGGCAAATGCAACATCTTCTCCACATTAAAAAATATCCTGAGAAGAAAAACACTAGACTGAGAAGAAAAACACTAGACTTCTAGCCTTAATGAGCAAAGTGAAGCTTACAAAGGAAATAAAAATAGTAAATGTGTAACCTAACTAGAAAAGTGATGTAAGTTCTAACAATGAGATACTATTTTTAAGTTATCAAATTTGGGAATGACTTTTAGGCTGGGATCTGAAAGACAGGTAGGTGTTGGCCAAGCAAAAAGTAGAAGTAGGGGAAGAGTATTTTAGGGATAATATGGAGTGTGAAAGCCCTGAGATGGGAAGAAAATTATCCCCCTTAACTGAAAGAAGGTAAAAAATTTAATACACAGAGTGAAGGATTAACAGTGTTAAGTAAGCATGTCCAACTGCAGTGGTGAGAACCACTGTTATTATATATACATATACATATGTATGTATATGACCACATATGTACTGCATACATGCATTGCACATACATGTCCTCTGTTTCCTGGGCATACACATATATTCGATCCCCAGGCTCTTTCTAACGATATGTGTACACATGACTGTATCCCAGCCAATGGATGTGAAGTCACATGTGCCACTTCAAGGCCTGACCTGTGAAATTCTTCCCCTGTGGGATCCACCATCCTCTTTCCATTTTGTAGCCATGTGGGACCTATATGTTGAAGACTGAAGAACAAGGAGAGGGAAGGAACCAGGGTCTCTGAATCATTGCTTGGAGCAGAGCTACCTGCAGATCACATATTTGAAAATTTTGTGTGAGTTGGAATATACTTTGATTGTGTTAGGTCTTTGAGATTGTTATGTAGTACCATAAAAAGCATTCATGACATTCAAAAGCATTAAGTAACTGCTTGCCATTACATGGTATAAATCTGGGCACTGTCTGCTAACGTAAGATGAGTAGGGAGTAAAAGGATTTGAGGCACTCTGGGGAAAATATTTCAAGGAGGAAGTTAGGTTTTTTTGGTGTCCTTAATAACAATAAAATGAAAAAATCATTTTTCCAACATAGTAGAAAAGTTGTGGGATGTGCTAGAGGCAAGATGCTGAAAGAGAAGGAGGGAACGGTAAGAAAACGCTTTACAAGATGCCCAAAGTCTGGGCTCAGGCAGTGGTGATAAAGTTGGAGATTATTTAGAAAAAGTAAAGGTATGTGCAACAGGATACGTGGCATCAATGAAGAGGACTGAAAAAAACTACAATAAAATATGAAATCTATACCCTTGACACATTGCTCAGAGATACATACAAATAGCCACTTACCAAATGTTCTTAAAGAAGGTGGCATTGATAGAAAAGCAAAGAAAATCTAGGATTGACTTGTTATACTAAAATGTATTTCTTTGAAACAAATCAGTTAAGTATTTAGTAAGTACCTACTGGGCATTGTTACTAGGATTAAAACAATTCATAAATCATGCGTCCTGCCCTCCAGTGAGATGGGCAGACAGGAAGAACGAGCTTCCCGACCCAGTGGACCCAGCCCCGGAGCCCAGCCAGTCACCAGGTCTAACTAAGCCTCAGACGACTTCATCTCTTACGCACTAGAGAGCAGGGCACTCCCCCAGCATCAACACAGCCTGTCCTTTTGTGCAGTCTATTCCGTTGCTTCGAGACAAAATTTCTATACTAGAAATAGATTTTAGTTTTTACATCATAAAGAAATTAATCAATGGAGAAAAGGTGATTTATTTGACAAACATCATAAAGAAATTAATCAATGGAGAAAAGATGATTTATTTGGTAAATTGGAAAGCTACACAGAAAAATATTTGGACTTCTAAGCTTAATCAATGCCCCTGAATGAAATCTAAATAGATTTATTATTTAAGTACAAAAGGAGAATTAAAAAAAACACAGAATAAATCCTTATGGGCTAATCTGAAGTGAAAAAAGCAGGACAGAAACCCTTCTGTGTAATTTTAACCATGTAAAATAATTGCGTAAAATACCAGCTATACACAAGCTCTCCAAGGAAATACACCACCAATAACCATAAAATCTGAGTGGTGAAATTATGGGCTATGTAAAAATTTTTCATAATCCTTTTGTTCATCTTCTAACTTTTTTACCATAAGTATGCTTTATTTTCATAATGGGGGGGGGCGGAATCCTCTAATTTTAAACACTAAGTGGCTAATACCTATTGAGCATGTACTAGTTTAGGTGTTTTGTACATATTAATACAATTATCAGCAACTTCATGAGGGAGGAAGTGTCATTATTACTATTGTACAGGTAAAACTCAGGGAGGGTAACTTACCCAAAGCCACACATCCAGTAAAGGGTGGAGCCGGAATTCAAACCCAAGGGATGCGGCTCCAAAGACTCTGCTCTTAGCCACTAAACCAACCAGTAGCTGAGATGAATGACTATATTCCCATTAATTTAGACCAAAAGAATAATTATGTAACCCCCCAAATCTATTATGATTTTGATAATGAGATAACATATCTGATATTAAAACATGAATTGGGGTGGTGGACACTGAAACATTTCTCTCCATTTCTTTTTTAATCCTCACTGGAGGACATTTTTTTTCATTGCTTTTCATTGCTTTTAGAGAGAAAGGAATGAGGAAGGGAGAGAGAAAATCAGTGTGAGAGAGAGGCATTGATTGGTCGCCTCCCATCCTCGCCAGGACCAGGGATCGCCTGCATCTGGACAGAGGATTGCAGGCCCCCCGACGGACCAAATCTGCAGCCTAGGCATGTGCCTAAATCAGGACTTGAACCTGTAACATTTCAGTTACCGGTTGACGCTCCAATTAACTGAGCCACACTGGCCAGAGCTCCATTTTTGTTTCTTAAAGATTTTTAAAATTTATTTTCCAGAGGGAGGGGAAAGGAAGGAGGAAGGGAGGGAGAGAAACATCAATGTGTGGTTGCCCCTCATGCGCCTCCAACTGGGGATCTGGCCTGCGACCCAGGCGTGTGCCGACTGGCATGGGGCTCCATTTTTAAGTAAGAAACTATGTTAAAGAAAAAGAAAACCCTTTTTACCTCTTTCTTAATGGCTTTTTCTTCAATCAGTTTTTTGGCATCCTTAAGGCCCTTAATTTTAATCCACAGAAACATTCCAGCAGTAGGAACATACCACTCTGCCAAACCTGCAAATAAAAGAAGGGAACAAATATCTCCTGAGGCTATTTGTGCTGTCACACATACTATTTAATGGCATAATTGAAGGAACTGTAAATTAGTATTTTTTCCATAAAAGTTCCTTCAGTGATAGTATTTTTAAAAAATATAATTTTACGAGTCCTGAAGATTGGTGTTTGAGTTTTATTTTAAAAGTGAGTGAGAGAGTGGAGTAAGGGAGGGAGGGAGACTCATGTGTGTGTATTTACAATTTTGGTCAGCCTCAGGTTAGTGCAAGAAATCTCGTGCTTGTGTCTACTTCCCGTGGTCAGAACCATTCCTGAGCCAAACATAACTCTTTCAGTTTTAGAAGAGCATTCTTCAACTCTTTCTGAATTCCTCCTGTGTTTTAATAAATCCTATCACTTATGTAATGGTGTAGAAGTCCAATGAATGAAAGTTTCTATCAGAATGTAATCAATTATGAAAAGAAGTACTTAAGATCAGGAATTCCAGCTATGTTCCATAGGCTTTATGCTTTGTTGATTATTAGGAGAGAAGAACCAAGAAGGAAGGATAATTATTATTATTTCGATTTTGATTGTTACCTTCTTTTAAAAATAAAGTTGCTATTAATTAAAACCTTCTCTCAACTCCACTGTGCAAAATGGTAGAGTAGAGCAGTACTCTATGGTGGTAGAGTAGTACTCTTTATGAAAAACATAATTCTGTTTTTACCAAGACTTCATAGGAAACAAGGTATGACAGAATTAAGGAAGTGATATTTTTTGCTTACTACGTTTTATACCAAAAGTATTTTAATGATATAATTAAAGCTATGTAATTCATTGTACTTTATTTTTAATAGAAAATTAAATATAAACCATCCCTCAATCAAATCAGCAATAGATAGTATTAGACAGATAAATGAGATTAGTGATTAAAATGCAAATCATTTGTAATGAAAAATCTCCCATAGATTTGTACTATATTATCTTTATGTAATACAGTTAGAAAAGGAGCATGTTGTTTTTTCACAATTCCTCTTCTATTTAGAGGAAAAGTTTGAAATAACTCTAAAAGCTTTTGAGTATAGAGGTTATTTAGCTTGAGATAATGTATTGCTGGTTGATTATTAGACTAATTGATCTTTTTTTTTTTTAATCACAAATTCTTTGCAGCGGACAGGTAAAACAGAGATAGGTGGAAATGTACCAGAGTTTGCAAACTGTTACTTCTGACATTAGTTATAGGTTAATATTTTCTTACAGAAATACTCCTGGACTCTTGTTTCCTGCCCCTCAGGATTATGGACAATACTATGCAGTGTTTATCACTCATTCATATCAGTGCTACTGTTTAGCATGGGATGGGATGTACGTTCCACTCACCACTTAACCACTTATCTGCAGCGGCCAGGATTGCATCCTTCTGCTTCCTGTAGTAGTCGGTAACCCTAGAAGAAGAAAACAATGAAAAGGCTGTGTGTAGTACATTGACTACAGAAGCTAAGAGGCTCTATAAGAATGATTTCTATCATGATTAAAATGAATGTTTGATAAGGGAATAGAGTATATTTATTTGACCTGGTGGTAAACTTTTTACTACTATGTTTTTTCCCTTTATTATGGAATAATGAAAAATTGAGAATTACAAAGTGACGTCCCGTCCATTTCTATGTAAAAAATGGGACGTAAAATATAATACCTGTCTACATGAGCCAGAAAGCCCTCTTGTCCCCATTGGTGAAGAAGCTGAAATATCATAAGCTAAAAGAGATAAGACAATAACAAATGTCAAGGTTCATCCTCTAGAATGTGTTTTTTGCCAATCACTCTTGATTACATATAAACCACCATAAGAAACTATAACAAGCTGAACCAAGCTTTATACAATCAGTGATTTAGAATAAATGTTAATTAAAAGCAGCGACAATAAAAATGGCAAATATTTATGTAGTACTTGCTATGTGCCAGGAACTATTGTACTATGTTAATATATTTTAGCTAATTTAATCTCATAATAACCTTATGAAGCAGGTTATTATTTCCATTTTACTGAAGAGAAAACTGAGAAACAAGGGTCAAGGTAACTTTCCTGAGGTCACACAGGTGGTCACAGAGCCTGGGTTCAAGTTAGACTGTCCAGCACCAGGTCTGTGCCACTGACAGCCATACTACACTTCCTCTCTAACACAAGAAATATGTAGTGCTTATAATATATACAACCATGTAACATATGTGGGTGTATTTCTATTTAAAATGGAAATTCTAAGTGTCATAAATGGATAGTGAATTTTTGTTGATATCAGATACAAAAAATAAAAAAAAAAGGAAAGGAAAACATCCCCAACTTGATAAGGCACTTTATGGAATGTAAAATATCAAACAAATATCCTATTCCACACATACTTTTGTAGTTCTTAGCATTTTGAGTTTTTAGGTAGCAATTCTGTTCTTGAGATCTAATTCTCAAGATTGCATTAGGGATGGATTCAGTATTTCTCAAAGCTTGCGAGGAAATTTATACATTCTCCAAAATTAACTTCATTGTAATTCAAATACACACCAACCAGTGTTTTTAGGAAGGTTAGCACGTGTTCAGTGAAGGTGATGAGTCACTAGGCAGCTCTGCAATTCTTGTTCTCATTATAGGTTTTAAGACAAAGAAGCCCAAGTTCCAGTACTTCATCAGGCTCAGTTCCACTGTGTACAGTTCAACAGTTTTGATGGAGTTCTGGGGCTCGATGCTAGGGATGCCGGATGAGTAAGATAGCCTGACTCTCACAGAGTTTAGTCTATGCTACAAAATACCACCAGGTTATAATTCTAGCTCTCAGTTGTCTGATAGAGTAAACATGTGCAGTGTCAGGTTTTTTAATTCAGTCCATATTGGAACTAGAGATTCAATACCAGTGATTTCCCTCCCTGCCACCGTAAATCAGTCTTATTTGCCAACATCTATTTTCTATTCTTATCAAATTAAAATTTTTTTCTATTTCTTAAATTGTCCTTACCTGTGTAAAAGTGCTGGTGTGCAATGTTGAGACTTGTGTGTGTAAAACAACTCTTTCTATCAAGGGTTTTGGACCAGATATAAACCCTATTCTCAACCTACACAAAAAAGAGAAAAGGCACAATAGCACTCCTGTATTAACAATGAGTCCCAGCCCTGGCTGGCGTAGCTCAGTGGATTGAGCGCGGGCTGCGAACCAAAGTGTCGCAGGTTCGATTCCCAGTCAGGGCACATGCCTGGGTTGCAGGCCATGGCCCCCAGCAACCGCACATTGATGTTTCTCTCTCTTTCTCTATCTCCCTCCCTTCCCCCTCTAAAAATAAATAAATAAAATCTTAAAACACACACACACACACACACACACACACAAAACAATGAGTCCCTGTCATTCCCCTGATCTCTTTAGGAAGAGAGCTGTGACCTGGGGCTAATGGACCTAGATAATTAAAACATTCTAATAAAGCTAACTACTTCTTATTTACCATTCAAATTTAAATTTAAGTGTATGTTTAAAATACAATGCAAGTTCAACCAAGAATTCTTAAATGTGCTCTTTTATACATGAAACCAAACATCTGATCTAATCTTCTACAACTTTAGATTAATGTCCAGGTTCCTCTGATAATTGGAGATGAACAGAGAGAAAAGGCCTATATTCAAATTACTAGTTTAACTGGTGTGTTCAGGCAAGTAGAATACAAGCATCTTAAATGAGGAGAATGTCTTGAACTGAAAGATGCTCAAGCACATTTCTATCTTTTTTAGATCTAGCCTTGAGTTAGAGACACAGGGCCTTACCCAGCAGACAGGACTTTTGAAAAAGAGTCAGATCTGATGACTCGCCCATCAATGTCCATGGAAAGAAATGACGGTATCCAGGGCTTGAAATGGAAAAAGTAAACACTATTGGTTTGAGAACTCGGTTAGTGACCGTGTAATTACTTCCTGTGGAGACTGGAAAGGGCATAAATTCAGATTAACAGCAGCACAACCACCTTTCCCATTACCTTTACCTCAACCCTCTAAAATGGAATACAAACAGAGATGAGTGTTCTTTTATTAGTGTATGCCTGTCTTCATGACTTTTCTGCCAAAAGTACAAACAAGGGTTTACTCATTTTCTTAAGATGCCCTTATTATGAATTTAGGTCCTTCGTGCCCCACGGACTGAAAGTCAAGATGAACAGGTTTAGAGAAAGGATTCAAGAAAATGGAAGTTAGATAAGATATACTAAGCACAGAGGACCAGCATCATTCAGGATTGTTTACAGAGAGAATGCTGCCTCTTAGAACCGGAAAGATAAACAAAGTAAGACTGAAGGTAGGAAATTCTGTCAACATGAAATACTGACTTAAGTATTTACTCAAGAAATAGATGCATACAAGGAAGGGGGTTGTGGCCATGATGACAGTGAGGTGTGATTCATTCAGGCAATACATCCAGAAAAATCAAGAGTTTTTCTTTTCTGTAGATTTAAAGAAGGAATCAAATCCATATATTTGTTCTCTGCAGCCCTGACAACAAATAAAGTGTTTAATTTTGAAAAATCAGGCATAGGGAGCGTGCATCGCTCCTAGTGCCCACTAGGAAAAAGTGGCTGTGAGAAGCAGTGCGCTACAGAGGGAGTCTAAAACCCAGTGTTCTGCAGCTGTGATCCAGGACCTTCGCCACAGGGAGGGCAAATAGTGTCCTGCTGCCAGGAATGCCTCATCGGATGTCCGTGAGGGACATCACTAATTGAGCACAGCCCTTCTTTTCTTTCAGCTTGAATGCAGCTTCCAAATCCTTTTCAGACACCATTCCTGTCAGCTGCTACCAAGAGTAGGTGACACGCAGGAGGAAACACCTTCAGACCCCTGGTACCATGGTTAAGGAGCTATGCCCTAGGAAATGGAGTTCGCCACCATTAGCCCTGACTTTCTCTTTCATTCAATGTATGGTACAGAGAGCCAGCTGCACTTTTTAAGGTAACTAATTCCTAGAAAGAGCTGTAATATCAGCAATGAAAAGTACTAATTCCATAATAAAACTAAAAGACTGAAAGTTGAAGTGGAAGCAAATGAAAAATCATTTATTTAATTCCAATGTAAAAGTGGATTAGCAGTCAGGCTAAAATCAAGTGCAGGGCAAGAACTTACAACAATTTATCTTCTAATTGTGAAATAAGTTCACAGCGTCACTTACCTTGTTGAACTGGAGAAAATAGTACGGATCATCTTCTATTATGAGGAAATCATATTTTCTTGCGAGCTAAAAAAGGTTAAAGTAGTGTGTTTATTTCTTAAGAGCTATCTAAAGTTAAAAGCATTTGGAATCACAATTCTTTGTGCTCATTCACTGGAAAAGCTACTGTCTAGACAACGAAGATAAAGAGATGAGGCTGCGAAAGCTCTTGCTCTCATGGAACTTCCATTCTAGTGGGAAAGGCAGAATACACATAAGCCAGTGGATAATGAGCAGAAGAAATGTTAGATAGGGGACTTAAGGACTGGGCAAAACATTAAACAGGGCGAAGTTTGAGAAAGAGAGAAACCGAGTAGCTATTTTGGGTTGAATTTCTGGGAAGCCGTTCCTGACAAGATAACACAGGCCTCAGAATGACAGGAAAGAAACAGTTGTGCAAATATCAGGGAAGAAGCTTCTAGACTAAGGGATGAGCAAAGAGCAGAGGCCCTTGGGTGAGACAGAAGCATGGCGCATGTAAGGGTTAGAGAGATGGCCGGTGCGAGTGCCGCAAGGGGGCTGCAATGACAGTAAGAGCCTCTGCAAGGCAGATACAAAATTCTGGGATTTTAACTGCAAGCAGAAGCCACCAGAGGACTGGAAACAGGAGGACCTGAGGCTGGCTTTACATTTCTGTTTCAGCAGGGGGAGGACATGGGTGACTGTGTGAAGAATGGTTAGACATCAAGAGTGGAGAGCAGCGGAACATGCCTGCAGACCGGGGAGGGAAGGCAGTAGTGTCTGAGAAGATGGTGATAGCAGTGGCTGGAGGGAAATGGATGGATTTGGATGAATTTGTTGGTAGAGCCCACAGAATGGATTGGATATAGCAGCAGGGGTGGTTAGGGAGGAGAGGGGAAGAGGAATAAAAGGCAATTGATCACGCTGGCACAGTGTATGGAGATGAAGAATGTTAATTGTTTGGGGATGAGATGTCTGGGGTGTGACTGGACAAAATCAATGGTTCTGTGTGTCCATGTTGGGTTTGAAATGCCTATTAGGTGTTTATGTTGGAAATTGGAAACAGAAGTTGGGTAGAGAAGTGTGGAATTCAGGCATTTCCGTTATAGACTGCAATTCACAACCACAGAGCTGGGTGAGGGTGTCTAAGGAGAGTATGTAAATAAGAGAAACTGAGGACAGGGCCAGGAGTGTGTGAAAAATGAGAATCAGACAATATTTTGATTATATACATATCGAATATAAGGAACCATTTGAAATCTTTCTTACGATTCCACTGCAATGATTAAGCTCTGTGTTATTTTAATAAGGGTTTGGTACTTATTTTGAAAAACTATTGGTAGTGAAAGGCTAGAGATCACAGTCAGGTACATACAAAAGACTTCACAAAAGGCACATTTTTCTTACTTTTCAAAGATTTCTCAATAGCTCCATATTTATTTGATACTTGTAATAAATGTCTATGGTGAAAAGCTTAAGGATCATTGTCAGGTAGCTAAAATAGACTTTACAAAAGGAACATGACTCTTATTTTCAAAGAGTTTCTTTGTAAATTGAAATGACAGAAGGAAAAGAGACAAATTGAAAATATAAATATAAAATAGAGAAAATCAAACTTGGGGTTCAAATGTTACATAACATCATAAAATTTAACATCAGGCCAAGAATTCTGTTTCTTTCTATGAAAATATCAATTAAAGGGATAGAAAAATCTCATAGTTAACAAAGGATGTAGTAATTTCTTGTGTTTAAATTTATTAGGACCCTTGACATAGATGACTTCCTCTTATTAAAACTTACCTACCTTGAAAGCAAGAAGTGAATAAAGGGCACTTGCATAGTACTTCTCTAAAAAGTCAGCAACACCCAAAAACCAAGAAGTAGCCACATAACACCCTTTAAAGTACCTCATAGATTTCCTTTTTGCGGTTAATTGTTAGTGAGTTTCCAGTAGGGTTGTTGCCATTTGGGACAGTATAAAGAAATTTGGGGGTGTTTTTCTTGGGGTTCTTTGAATCTTCTGGTTTCCATCTGGAAAGTATTTCTTTGAGGGATTCTGGAATAATCCCATATTCATCACTGGGAACATTAATAAGGTTGCAGCCGAGTGGTTGTAGCTGGGGAACACAAAGGAAAAAAGAAAGCCCAAGATTCAGAACTGATGACAAAATGATTCTTATACTGAGAATGTTACCCTTGACACCCTTAAACATACAACCTGCACTCAGCTCTACTTCCAGAGGGTTTAGCTAGTATATTCTAATCCTGTTGTTGCCCTGGGGCAGATCCCAGTATCATGCAGACATCCCATCAATTTCCAGTGGAAGGATCACACATCCCTGCTCCTGTAAACCAGGCTTGGCTGTGTGTCTTGCTCTGGCCAGTAAATCGTGAGCAGAAGTGCTATGTGTTCCTTCCAAGCAGAAGCTTTAAAATCTGGCTTTGCACTGCTCTGTTTCTCTTTCCCCTCTCTGCTCTAAGACTTGCGGTGTTCCAGAAAGAGACTGCTTCTGTCAGCTTAGGGCTTGGGATAAAGATGACATGAAACTCAGCTATAGTTGCCTTGCAGTAGACATGTAGTGTGGGAGAGAAAGAAATCTTTGTAGCTGTAAGTCACTGAGACACTGGGGGCATTTTTTGTACAGCACAACCCAGCCTCTTCTGACTGAATTATCATCGTAAGTATAGTTAGAACTGGGTCGTAAAGCAGGTGTTTATTAATACATATTTCGACAGAGTAATTCTATAAAGCATCTGTTATGCTAATATATAAAATAGTTACAAGCAGAGGTGACATTCAAAATATTTAACAAGTGCTGTAGCAGTGGGTCCATCAGATACACCTGCAGGCTGGAAGGGGTTCCTGGAGGTTCCCTGTCAGCATTGATTCCGTATCATGGGGTGTTCAGGGTGGTCTAGGGAGAGTGGCCGGCAAAGCCAGGGTGTGATGGGGCACTGGGTAGCAGCTTACTGAGGGGTGTGGAAGCATTTCAATGTTTTACCACCTGCTAAGGCTGAGTTGGCAAGTAGTGGTCTTGCTTACAGACATAATTTTATAAAGGTACTGTGGAATCTTATTCTTGGATGAAAACAGACATAAAAAAAATCAGATATTAAGAAATAGCAATAATTGAATGAGGTTCTCAAAAATTTTTTTTCAAAGGATAAGCAAACACTCTTTTTAATAGTCCAATGTAGAATTATGCACTACTCTGCTTATGACAACTTTAAATGGCCCTTGATGGAGGGAGAGTTCAGGTGGTGAGTGCACAGTGCAATATACTAATGGCGTATTGTAGAGTTGTACACCCGGAACTTGTATAATGTTATTAACCAATGTCACCCAAATAAATTTAATAAAACATAAAATAAAAGGTCTTACCATGAATAAAACAAATTTATATTGGGCCATGAAATGAACAATATTGCTCATTAGCATACTTCCTCACGGCTCGGCACATGGTTTCTGTTTGGGTATGTGAAAATGTTCTGTGTGTTTGCATGCATGCTGTTTATGTAGACACAAGTTTTATATTTATAGGCATATGTAATCATAAATCTTAGGAATTTAGGAAAATAATAATTAGTGTTAAATCACTAGAAAAATCAATTATATGATGTTTTTTAACTAAGGTAGGATCTATATAAAAATTTGGCCATTTGAAAGTGTATAATTTAATGGCATTAATTACATTCACAGTATGTGCTCCTGTCATCATCATCAATTTCAAAATTCTTTTCATCACCCCAGGCAGAAACTCTGTACTCCCATTCCTCCCTCCCTCTAGACCCTGGAGATGTCTATCCTACCTCCGTCTCTGTGAATTTACCTGTTCTAGATATTTCACACGATACGTGTCCCTTGTGCCTGGCTCCTTTCCGTTGGCATGTTTCCAAGGTTTATCCCTGTTGCAGCATGTGTCGTAACTTTGCTCCTTTTGTAGCTGAGTAATATCCCATTGTATGTATACACTACATTTTATTTATTTATTCACCCACTCATGGACACCTGGGTTGCTCCCACCTTTTGGCTATTGTGAATAATGTTGCAGTGAATGAGTGTGTTTCTGTTTGAGTCCCAGTGTTCACTTCTTTCTGGGTATACACTAGGAGTGGAATTGGTGAATCAGGCACCGTAATTCTATGTTTAAAATTTTGAGGAACTGAAAAAATAGTTTCCACAGTAGCTGCACCATTTTACATTTCCACTAACAATGTACAAAGGTTCTGACTTCTCCACATATCCACCAGTATTTGCTATGTTCCATTAAAAAAAAAATAGCCATCCTAGTATGAGTGAAGTTGTCTCTCCCTCTGGTTTTGATTTGCATTTCCCTAATGACTAATGACGTTGAGTATCTTTTCATGTGCTTATTGACCATTTGTATATCTTCTTTGGAGAAATGTCTGTTCAAGTCTTTGTCTATTTTTAAATTTGTTTGACTTTTGTTGTTGAGTTACAGATCTTTATATATTCTGGATATTAATGCCTTATCAGATATATGGGTTGCAAATGTTTTCTCCCATTCTTTAGGCTGTCTTTTCACATTATTCATAATGTGTTTGAAGCTTAACAATTAATTTTTTAATGAAGCCCAATTATCTATTTATATTTGTGGTTGTTTCTTGTGTTTTTAGTGTCATATCCAAGAATTCAGTGAGAAACACAAGATTAGGATTTGCCCTTATGTTTTCTTTTAAGAATTTATAGTTTTACCTCTTACATTTAGGTCTTTGATTAATTTTGAGTTAAAATTTTATATGCTGTGGAGTAAGGGTCCATTTTCTTTCTTTTTTCATGTGGAAATCCAGTTTTCCCATCATGATTCATTGAAGAGACTGTTCTTTTCCTACTGAATGGTTTTAGTATCCTTGTCAAAATCAGTTGGCCATGACTGTATGTGTTTATTTCCGGACTCTCAATTCTGTTCCATTGGAATTATGTCTTATCTCTTATGCCAGTACTACACTGTTTTGATTACTATAGCTTTGTAGATGGTTTTAAAGGGGAAGTGTGAGGACTCCAATTACGTTCTGCTTTTTCAGGGTTCTTCTGGTTATTAGGGCCCCTTCGAATCCCATGCAAATTGGAGGATTGGCTTTTCTGTATCTGCAAAAAGGCTATTAACATTTTGACAGATTGCATTGAGTCTATAGCTTGCTTTGGCAGTACTGGCATTTTAACAATGTTAAGTCTTTCAATCTATGAATAGGTGATATCTTGGATGTTATAAATGAAAATTGTTTTTTAATTTTCTTTTCAGATTGTTCTCTGAAAAAATTTTATAATATTCATTTTATCTCTACTTAGGAATGTTGAATAATATAACTTTCATCAAGACTAGCTAATTGCTCTATATATTGTTTTTTAAGAAGGTTTTCTAAATTTTGTTTATTTTTTAGAAACATGGGAAGGGAAGGAGAAAAAGAGGGAGAAAAACATTGATGTGAGAAATATCAATCAATTGCCTGCCATGTGCACCCCACCTGGGGATCAAAACTGCAATCCAGGCATATAAATTGAACCAGGGACCTTGTGCTTTAAAGTACAACTCCCAACCGACTGAGCCACACCAGTCAGGGCTATATATTGATTTTTACAAAGATTGTTTTAAATTTGAATGAAAAAGAAAATCGATGAAATCAGAATCAATAGAGCATAAAGGTCATCATCTCATTCAACTCCCCTACTTTAGGCTAGAATTAATTCTGCAATATTTGTGTTAGGTGGCAATCAAGTGTAACTGAGCACCTGCAGTGATGGGCAGTGCTTTACCTGCATAAGAAGTCAGGCAAGACAGATAGTTGGAAAGTTGTTATACTGAGTTGGAATTGCTTCCCTGTAGTTTCTAGCCTTTGGTTCCAGTTCTCTCACCTGAGGACACGCACAAACAATTCTAATTCCCTGGTCACGTGCTAACTTCTATGTATTTGAGGACAGTTCTCATATGTATCGAGTCTTCCTTTTTTTTTTTTTGCAGAAAACAGCCACAGTTTCTAAAATCATTCATCATATAGTATGGTTTCCAGTTTCCTATTCACTCTGATTATTCTTCTTTGTTCCAATTTGAATACTTAACTATCCTAAAGTATTGTGCCCCAAACAAACCTAATTCTCAGCAGTGTGTTCTGACCACTACACAGCAGAACAAGATGGTCAGTTTCCTTTTTCTGATTATTATAGCCCCATTAATTTAACATGGGAGTGGAAAGCCCTAATTATACCACATTAGTTTATAGTTATATTAACTTGACATATAATATTATTATAATTAGGCATATGATAATTATGGATGGCAATGAAAAAATAAATTTTTGTAAATTGTCACACTTCAAGTGAAATCTTAAGAAAACTGGACATGATTTTGTACAACCTAATTTTAGCACCTATTCATTTAAATTTGGTAACAAGAAATGTATAAAGTAAAGGGTGTATTTAACATAGTTGGCATACATAATTTAAGATTCTCCTATTTACAGATGAAAGAGACTATTTTAGTTTTCAGTGGACAGATAATGCTAAAGGCGCAATGGTTTCTTCTTATTTATTATAAGAAAGAGAGTTACCTTTTATGGAAATGTATACTCACAGCTTCAAGTGTTCCTGAATAAACAGGTTCATTTAGGAGGATATTATCTCCACTATTAATGAGCATTTCAAACACCTAACAAAAGAAGCATAGGTTAGCTTGGATAGTACTGTTTCCATTCTTAGGACAACCCTTATCCTTTCAGTTTTAGCTCACCAGGGCTATAGATTAGGAGTTGGCAAATATTCTGTAATGTCAGGTAGCACATATTTTGTGGGTGATGGTGTCTCCATTGCAACTACTTATCTCTGCCTCTGTAGTGATGGCCACTGACAATACAGGAGTAGGCAAAAGTAGGTTTACAGTTGTGAGTATGTGAAACACAATTTATTCCTTTATTACTATTATTATAATCATAACCTGTATGTCTTCTTCCATACAACTATAAACCCAGTTTTTCCCATCACTGTATGTAAACCAATGAGTGTGGATGAGTTCCAATAAAACTCTATTTACAACATCAGATAAAGGCTGGGTTTGCCTCTCAAGCCACAGTCAACTAACCTCTGTTCTAGGGTTACATGAAAAATAACATAAACATAACTGGTTTGGCTTCCAAAATTCATTTTATCCTTCCGTTTCTTCTTTGAATGTGTATTAAATATTTACTATAAGCCAGTCCTATAGAAGACAAAGTGATGAAATGAATAACATAATGACCAGTTTTTACCCTCGTAGAGATACTAGTCCACTAGGAAAGCTAGACATTAATCAAATAATTACTCAAATAAATGTCTATTTGCACCAGTGATGAATGCTATTAAGTACAGATGCACAATGCTATAAGAGCTCGTCATAGGAGGACTTGGGCATTCAGAGGTTTCCCTGAGGAAGTGATGAGGCGGGATGGGGTTGACAATAGGCACACTTTGAGAAACTGAAAGAATTCTGTGGCTTGAATCAGAGTATAATGAGGAGGGTGGGGTGAGATCAGACAAAAGCGAGCTGAAACCATACCATGCAGACACTGGGCCAAGTGAGGCCAGTGGGAATTTTAAGTAGAGTGTGGGAAGGGGGAACCACTATATCAGATATGCATTTTGACAACATCATTCTGGCTATAATTTGAAAGAATTAAAGATGAATGAGAATACATGTGGAAGGTTTTACAATTATTCAGGGCAGACAGATACAGGTAGTCTGAAGTGGGACAATGATGGTGGAGTAGGAGAGGAGAGCTGAGAGGTACTTAGGAACTCAAAACCAATGAACATAATAATCATGGTCTACGAGGCATGAGGAAGAGGAGGTGTCAAGTAGGACTCCTGGATTTTTGGCTGTGGAACTAGAAGGATGGTGGGAGTGGGGCCATTCACTGAAAGGTAGACCCAAAAGGTTGTCCAGGTACGAGGGAGAAGATGATGAGTGTTTTGGTTTGAAGTGCTTTCAAAGCATTTTGTGATGATGTCAGGTGGGCAGATGGACGAATGGACTTAGAAGGAACTTGGAAGTTACCAGCATGATTGATCACATGGGTGTGAGTGCAAATACCCAGGGAGTGTGTACAGATTCAGGGGGGCAGAGGTTTGAGGCCTCAGCCTGAGGAGCTCCAGTAAATGATGGCTGAGTAAAGGGATGCTGCCGTGGAGGCAGGGCAGGTGGGCTGAAGGAGAGCCACCTAGTGCGGTGCTGAGAGTGCCAGGGCAGGAGAATGTTTCAGAATGGATGGGGGAAGTCAACAATGTTAAAGGATATTTAGAGGTCAAGTAAGACAAGACTTGACAGATCTTAGGAGATTTTGCAGACAGTGTAATGTCTACTGAGATCAATGGAGCTAGACAGTAGATCTTTCCAGCCTAATCAAATGGGTCTATTATGACTAAACCTTACACAAGTCAGAATAATCCTTTCTTTTTTAAAAAAGATTTTATTTATTTATTTTGAGAGAGATGGGAAGGGAGAAGGAGAGGGAGCAAAACATCTATATGAGAGAGAAACATTGACTGGGTTGATTAGTTGCCTCTTGCACACACCCTGACTGGGAACTGAACCCTCAACCCAGGCCTGAGCTCAGACCCAGAATCTAACCAGTGACCTTTTGCTTTCTGAGATGACACCCAACCAACTGAGCCACATGGATCATGGCAAGTAATCCATTCTTGCCTTGTGTTTTTTCACAATCCCCAGCTCAAACCTTTCCTTCCCATCTTTTTAACAACCTACATCTCTTGACAAATGGTATGGCTACTGTTGATTGAGACAGAAGATTTAACTTTTTTTTTACTGATTTGGCCTAGGATATTCCCTTGACCTTTTCCTTATGAGCTTTGGCATGTTAGGACAAACAGTATCCTCCTCTGGAAAGTTTCTAATTGATTCAGGCTTTACGTGATATCCAGGACCAAGCAAATTATGTGGGTGGTCTGTGCATTGTCAATAGATCAAATGAAAACTTAGTTATATACATTTTACATGTCAACTAGGGGACATGAGGATGCCAAATAGCCCCAATTAGGAGGGTTGTTTGTTGTCTGGCAGCACGTTTTAATAGCTGTAGCTAGAAACACAAGCACCTATGATAACACCTATCCTGGAGAACAAAGGGGAAGAGATATTAAACCAGATTCCCACTAATGACTCTGTAATAAACATATCTACAAGTAAGTGAGTTATTGATGTATTTGGCCACCTATTCTATCTTTCTTCTTTGATATGACTGATATTGTAACAGATAAACTGTCTAGAATATTTTTCTGTGAAAAAAATTCACAGTATGCCTTCCTAAGAAAAGAATTTGATGGATTAGAACTCTTTTGCATTAGTCTATGGAATCACAAGTGTTTCTCTTCAAGCAAAAACTTTAACAGTAGCTAATCCTTTTATTTTTCCTAATTAAAAAAGATAGACTAAGGCCATACCACCCTGAACATGCCTGATCTTATCTAATTAAAAAAGATGGAGGAAAAATTATAAAGATTCTTATTCCTTCAATTATTCTGTAATAATAATAAATAATAATGAAAATTCATTAAAGTTAACCAGATTATAGCTTTCACATTTACATAAAAAATAAGAAAAAGGAAGCTTACTCTAGTTTAAGATAAATAAGAGTCATGTTTTAATCTAGATGTAAAGACTGAAGATAGAGAATCTTTATCCAGGACTAATTATTCATGAAAGAGAAGAGAAGAAAACAGATAAAATAGAGTCATAGGTATAATCTCTTTTGGTGGTTACATCTGTGAAGCTCCTGGAACCCAGAAGAGAGGGAGGGCGGGAGGGAGGGGAAGAGAGAGAGAACCCAGAGAAAAGACAAGACATGAGCAGTGGAGAGCACAGGTGATTACATAAGTGGGCATGCAAAGGACTCATGTCATCTGACGAGTATCAGGATATGCCCTCTAAAAACTGAAAACTTATGTTGAAATTTCTTAACTGAAACCACACAGAACAAAATGTAACCTGAATTTTTGAGCCAGATGACATTGAGCAGTGCTCACTACAGCTTCTGGTAGGAGTTGAGTACTCCTTCAGTGGGAATCCCGTTTGCATGCCTCATAGCTCCGGGTCACTGACTACATGATCTATGTGTAAGGAAAATCAGGTTAGTGAATGTCTTTAAGTTCTCTGTTTATTACTCTAGGTAAAGACAGGAAAGACTATCAGTAAGTCACAAAACGTGATCTTCTGGTTTGTCAGTGAGACATGAATGTATTTATGAATACTTGATTTTTAATGTGGGGTAGCTTTTCTTTTCAGCCTTACCTTACAAAGACCATCTTGGCTGCCAGTTGTGACACATATGTCCATTTCTTCTTGGCTAGATGGGCGATGGAGGGTGGGAGGATTATGCAGTCTTAACTGTAACTGTGTTAGCCAGGACAACAGCTCTGGGATTCTAAAGCATAAAATATATTTTCAAATTTATAGTTGTAAAAATCATAATAATAGACAGGAATTAAATTGTAGCTATATACTAGGTACTTTATACATTCAATTTCTAAATCCTCAAAATTTTTTGCCAATATTAATATCCCTATTTACAAGAAAAGGCAACAGACTTAGAGATTAAGAAAGTCACATAAAGTTAATCAGCAGTGATTAAGTGAGCTGATATGTGAATCTACATCTTTCTTAGTCTAAACACCTATAATCTTTATTTTACTATAGAGCACTCACTTAATAATCAATTCTTTGTTCTCTTTAGGAAAATTCCCATAAATTACCTAGAAGTTTAAACCCCCAAAGTCCTTTATATCATAGAAGAAAAAGCCTATGGATATGTTGCATATCATTCATGTGTATATAATCTGTACTATATTTCAATATAGTTTCCCATCACAGAACAAAGCAGGCTTTAACAAAGTATAATTTATAGACAATAAATTATCCTTTATCATTAGAAGATCAGCTAAAGAAAATCTTAAAGGCAAGCTAGGTATTCTAGTTTGCCTTTGAGAACTAAGACATCTGAACTGAAGGCAACATGTCTGCACAGCTTGGAAGAGAGGCTAATTCTCAGAAAATTGCCCTAGGACTTAATACTGCTGCTTCCTGGATCACCCTTTTGTTCCCTTCTCCTAACCCACTTCTCTCCCTAGCTGTCTTCTCATTTCTTTCAATCTCAGCTCAGTAGAGCACTTTTTTCCAGAAGCCTTCAGACTCCCCCAGTCACGTGAGGGTGAGAAGAAGTCCCTGAGGAATGTGAACATTAAGTGTTCAATATTCTGTTGCTCTTAATTCTTTGAAAATTCTTCCCCAAACCTTCCTAACTGTTGACTGCCCATGAAAAAAAAAAAGACAAGTCACTTTGTTAGCAGCCTTTACAATATTGCTCATGAAAATGAATTACCCAGCAGTTTGAGAATACTGAAGTGCTTTCTTCATTATCTCTTCATCAAATTGGATGACCTTTCCATCGTCTGTGGTGATAACAGCAGTCTTAAAGGGAAACATGTTCGGATTTGGTGATCCAGTAGCCAAGGAGATGACTGATTTTGGTGACCTCAGCATTATCTCACCTACAACAAATACAGAAGACAAGACTTGACACTTTTGCTGAAGACTTTCCTGAACAGCATAGTTCAGTATGTTGTGTTACACTCAATACAACTGTCCAGGGATAGGATGCTAATCTAAGATAAACTTAAAATAACGTTGCCTGGACCTACCTCACTGGTGGAGGAACTAAGCAATGGAGATGTCCAACTGAGAAGGCAGAGAGTGATCAGGAAGATAAGCAAGGGGCCTCAGTAACAGAAAACCCTGCTCTATTTAGCTCCTGCCTGCTTGACAAGCCACATGGCTCACCCTGCACAGGCCTGCACACTGTACCTAATCCCTATTTAGTTCTAGGAAGGCCCGGTCTCTTCTAGGGCCGAGTCCTGCATCAGCTTGTTCTTCTCTATTGTAGCTCCTTCCCCGCCTTCAGTTCCAGCCCGAGTGTGTGTTTGCACACGAGGCCTGGCTCACATAGAGATTTCATAGTTGAATGAATGATTACAACCAAGGGTGACTGCAGGCACCACCCAGAGGCTCTACGAAGCGCCCCCCCCACTCCCGGACCGCCCTCATCCCAGGAAAAGGGACTGTGCCCCAGCACTCACTCAAGACTCGGATAGGAGAAGGCCTTCTTGCTGCGCTTCTAGCGGTGAGGAACCGTGCGTAATTCATGCCTCTGATACCCAAGCACCAAGCTCCTTTGGTAAAGACTAGCACAACAAAACACTAGGGCTGCCCCTCCGCTCTCTCTCCCAACGTCTCCTTAGGTGACTCCCGCCCTCCTCCCCGCAGGAGTCTGGCTTGCTGAGTGCAGTGCCAGAAATTCGTCGCCAAAACTCCCAGGCTGGAAGCAACCCTGCGAGCTTGGGTCCTGAACCGGCCTAGGACGGGTGGCAAAACAAGGAAAGTCTAGCTGCAAAAGCAGAGTTCGCCCCCTGTCTGGCACCCTATATGCTCCGGTTGCGCGTGGGGAGGAGGTGGGTTGGTCTGGCCACACCCCCTCCCGCCAAGCGCCGCAGCCTATAGCTGGCCGGCTATGCGCACCGCCCAGTCCCGCCTGCAGTCCTAGGCCCGCTAGCAGGCCTCGGGGCGTGTGGGGGCTGGTTAGGGCGACGGGCGAGGCACTTGAAAACCTCGGCCAGTGCCTGAATCCGTTTGGATGCCAGTACGACTCCTTGCAGCTGGCAGTCGTCTCAAGGAAGTGTCCCTCCAGGCATTCACACGTGGTCGGAGATCTTGCCCTGGGGCGGCTAGTAGGAGCTGGGGCAGGATATTCACCCGGAACCCAACCGGGTGAACGTATTTTATGAAAAATACCTTCTGGCAGCTTCTTTGTGCAGCAAGCTCCCAAGAGGGCATTCAGCCAGGTGTTTGCTGTGCCGAGCTTTCCTGCGCTGGTGGTTGGTTACTTGCCTGGCCTGTGGCGACACAGAAAGAGTTGTAACCCGTCGGACCACTGTTGTGTAAAATGTAGCCCCCCCCCTTTTTTTAAGGCACAAGTATAGGCACTATTCTGGGAAAGTCAACAATGCGACCCAGATGATCTCCGATGTCACTTTCTCCAAAATTGGAGCATTTTAGAGTGAGGGTAGAATGCTGTTAATTTAAAAAAAATAATCACCCTGAGGGTCTCAACTTTTAGAGTGTCTCTCCCTTGGATTTTTTTGACTATTCATTATGAATTTAGGTTGGAAGTGTATATCCAAAGAGATTCATCTATTTGAGTCAAGCACCTTGCCCTTTTTTTCTTACAGAATAATCCTCCCCATTTTCCACTTCTCAACTCTCCATCCCGTTTTCTGTGGGATTTCTCCTTCCTGATCACCAGCATGGAATGCACAGGGTTTCCATGTGAGCACTTGTGAGATGATTTTGAGACAATCTGTAATAGGTAGTTAATTCTTTAATGGGTAGTTAAAAAGTCATTTATTGTTAACAAATTCAAAACTGGATTCATCCATTCAGCAAACATTTATCGAGTCCTTCCTGGGTGAGTATTGACGCAGGGCCGAAGAGCTCCCTTCTAGACATAAATAGATTGGTCCAAGTAAGATCTTGTAACTGCTCTTATCCCGGTCCTTGCAACAGACGGATGAGGTAACCAGTGAAATCTCTATGCCACCAGCTAGGTAACAAGGGAATATCATTAGTAAAGCTGCCAGAAACCCAAGAGGCAGTACAGTTTTGGAGTCAGACATTTGAAGTGGTTTAAATCCTCCTTGATGATTTACCAGCTGGTTGTCTTTGGACAAGTTACTTAATTTTTCTGTGCATTAGTTTTCTCACAGGGCTGTTGTTGGCAGGATTAAATGAGATTATCAATATTAGGTTCATTAACACAGTGGCCTGCACACCGTAAAAGCACTCAGTAAATGTTAGCTGCCTCTTTTCCCTGATATATATAAATTAATACTGGGAGAAGAATGTTGTTATAACAAAAATCTAAGATACGTGACATTGGTTTAATGGTGGGTGATGATAGATTATTTCTGAAAAAGTGGGGGCAGTTGACTCCAGTTATACTGTGACAAATCATTTGGTGAGTTCTTTCTGGCATGAACAGATCAAAGAAAAGAAAATACTCCAGGTCAAGCATGGGATCTCATTATTAAAGTATAATTTTCAAAAAGTTAAAAAATCATGAGCCCCATACACATGTTAAATGAGCACATGTGAAGCATTTTATTTAATTCATTATGAGGAAACCTATACACCATTAAAATGGGTTGAGTTGATAATTTATCTTGCAGAGATTTGTATTTTATACAGGGACAAACTTTATTTGCATTGCCACAAACAGGTGATAAAAGGTTTGTGAGGTGATGGATATAACTCATTGTGGAAATCATTTTGCAATATGTACATATGCATACATACATACAAATCACATTTTGTATCTTAACTTCACACAAATTTATATGTAATTTTATCCCAATAAAGCTGGAAAAATAGAATTATATGTGCAAAAGATATTTTTAAGGCATATATTGTTTTATTTAGCAGAAGAAGATGCTACGCGATTATTAGAAGATTGTTGCTAACATCCTTGCTAACAGTTTAAGGTGCTGTTGTTTTACAAGTTATCACACTTAGTCATGCAGATTTGTTGGGTTTGACTGACATTTCAAACCTGACTCTGAAAACAGCTTGCTTAGCTAATGTGGGGGGAAAATGCTAAAACCTATAATAAGATGTTTAAATATGGGATGCTTTAACAATAACTTGGAAAAGTACAGAAATACACATTGTGACTTTTATTATTGAAAAATTCTAAAGCTGCAGGATGATCCATTTGTATTTTTTCATCTCCTTAGAGAGTTTGCATGTAGGCAATACTGGAAATTAAAACTGGCAATGTGAGCATGGCATTAATTCATGTGAACACCTTGCCTGCAGACAGACAACAATGGGATTTACTGTACAATAGGAAAATGTTCTTACTTGCCAGGTTCTAGGGTTTGCTGTGGCTGTTTTTGTTGGATGTGTGGGTGCTGGCAAGAGTAGCTTCATCAATATGTTACTTTGATTTCCAGATTTGACTTGATGGACTGGGTGGCAGGGCATGTGAGTTTCTCTTCCTTTTTAGCTGCTCCACACTGGATGTTACGGCAGCTGTCTCTTGTGAAGAGAGTCTAGTGTCTGTTTGTTATTATTCATAAAAGCATACAGAGCCTCTAAGGGAGGCTGGATCGTACCTGTGATGTGCCAGTAGTGCATGGAGATGTCGTCAGCAGTGTGCCCACCGTGCAGGGAGACTCTGTTTGGGACTTGTCCTGAGATCGATGAAGGTTTCAATGAGGGCTTTATTGGGGTCTGTAGTCTATTTTTTATTCTTATTTGTTAATCCTCATTCGCGTATATTGTTTTTAGATTGATTTTAGAGAGGGGGGTGGAGGGTAGGGTGGGGAGAGAGAGAGAGATGGAGAGAGAGAAACATCGATGTGAGAACATTGATCGTTCTCACATCGTGTGTGCCCCATATGTGCCCCGACTGGGGATTGAACCCACAACCTTTTGGTATACGGGACAGTGCTCTAACCAACTGAGCCATCCAACCAGGGCAAGATGCATACAAGAGTTTTGGTGGATAGCAGTCATTAAGTGAATTAAAGCTTCATTCTTCACAAGTGTGAACATTTGTATTATAATGTACACCACTGGATGGTAGTTCCCTCAGGAGGATAAAAATAAATTGAAATTGCCTTTGAAAAGCAGAATTCATTTTAATAAAACTTTTTGTAGAGCAGTTGAGAAAAAATGCATATGGATATTATATAGATTTTTTACTAATTCCTAGGCCAAAAAACCAAGATTGTAAGTTGAGGAATCAACAAAGATAAGAATGATTTTTACACACATTTCTAGTGATTCTAAATGTTTTGGGATGTAACTTGAGCATGTTCTAATAAATGCTGTACTACAAGGAGGAGCTGTTTCAACTTGGTAAAGTTTTTTTGTTTTTGTAACACGTAGCGAGAGAAGTCGGTATTCTTACTGAAGCTACTCTTTTGAGATTAGACTTTTAAAACAATCTGGCTGAGTTCACATGTTCAAACTCCAGAGGATCATTTGGAAGGACTTTTTCATCCACTTTAAATCCAGTTATGAGTCCAGCATTTAGAAAATACTCAGATTCTCTGAAAGTTAATGCACAAGCAAGCATGCATACGGACATCTCTTGCATAATGTTCTGTCTGGTAACGTGATAATCATTGTGCTCCATCACCCAGATCTTGGCAAGGAGCTTCCACTTGAGATCGTTAGGAATACAAATGAAGAGGGAGGACAAAGATTTTGGAGTGAGAAATTTTAAACTAGTGCAAAATTGACATTATTCTCTTGTCAATTATAAAGTCTTCAACCTAAGCTGTCTCCCCCAGCGCCCCCATCATTAGAGACTTACCTATTTAGTTTCCAGCTTTACTGAGATATAATTGACGTGTTTGTTACATTGTGTAAGTTTAAGGTGGACAGTGTGATGGTTTGGTACATTTATATACTGAGAAATGATTACCATGGGAGGGCTGACACCTCCATCACCTCGCATGATTCTTTCTTTCTGTGGTGAGCCTTTTTTTTAGTTTAAATTATTTTATTGTTCTTCAATTACAGTTGTCCGTATTTTCTCCCTACCCCTCCTCCCCAACCCCCTCCAAACACACTTCCCTCCCTTGCTTCCACCCTCCCCCTTGGTTTTGTCCACGTGTCCTTTATAGTTAAAACCCTTCTCCCCACTGTCCCTTCCTTCCTCCCCTCTGGTTATTGTTAGATTGTTCTTAATTTCAATGACTCTGGTTATATTTTGTTTGCTTTTTTTCTTTTGTTGATTATGTTCCAGTTAAAGGTGACCATATGATCTCAGCTTTAAATGTGATGAGAATTTTTAAGGTTTACTCTTTTAGTAACTTTCAAATGTATAGTACAGTATTGTTAACTACAGTGACCAGGATGAACATCAGATTCCCATAACTTAATCATTTCATAGCTAGAAGTTTGTACTCTCTGACTAACACCTCCCTTTTCCCTCCTTTCCCAGTCCCTGGCAACCGCCAATATATTCTCTGTTTCTATGAATTCTGTTTTTGAAGATTCCACAGGTAACTGAGGTCACATGGTGTTTGTCCTCCACCTGACTTTTCACTTTGCATAATGCCTTCGTGATCACATAGGACAGGATTTCCTTCTTTCTTTATCCATTCATCCATTGATGCTTAGGTTTGTTTTCTTACCTTGGCTATTATATATAATGCTGAAATGAACATGAGGATACATATGTCTCTGTTAGATCCTGGTTTTATTTCCTTTAAACCTATACCCAGAAGTGGTATTGCTGGATTATATGGTAGTTCTATTTTTGATTTACTGAAGAACCTCCATACTGTTTTTCATAGTGGCTGAACCAACTTACGTTTCCACTAACAGAGTACAAAGGTTCTCTTTTCTCTGTATCCCAGCCAGTAGTTTTTATCTTGTCTTTTCCGATAACAACCTTCTCACCAGTGTGTGGTGATATCTCATTATGATTTTGATTTGCATTGTGCCTGTTGGCCATTTGTATGTCTTCTTTGGAAGAATGTTTATTCAGTTCTTCTGCCCATTTTAATCCAATTATTTTTAGTTTTTGTTTTTGAGTTATATGAGTTTCAAAAATATATATTGGATATTAACTCTTTATCAGATATATGGTTTGCAAATATTTTCTCCCATTCTGTAGATTGTCTTTTCGTTTTGTTGATTTTTTTTTTTTTTGCTTTGAGGGAGATTTTTAGTTGATATAG